GAGTTAAGGAATCCAGACATTGGGAAGTTCCACTAGACGGGCATGTGGATCCTGAGGGGAATACTTAGGGTTATACTCTTCTACATACCAGACTAGAAAATTCCTTTTGAGACTCGATGGAGTCTAATATTTTGTTATTCCACTACAAACCAAATTTGATTATTTTGGGATGTAATTGTCATAGTCTGGCATATTCTTTTGGATATTATGGTCATGGTTTGGCATATTCTTTTGGGAAGATGTTGTAGATATTGTATATGATAAATGAAATTTTCTTATTTTATGGATTTTATTAGTTACTCTCATGATGTAAATAGTATTTAGATAGTAATGTCGTTCAAGGTGATTTTTGGGGCGTTACAACCATAGATTTGAGTAAAGCCCTTAACAACAAGGCAGGCTTTGAGGCATTCAACAGAACTATTTGGATTAAATTTAACGATATACACCCACTAACAATCAACAGTCCTTTTACTAGACGATAAGGGAATAAGATCTCAAGTACCATTCTGATGTAAGGCATTCATCTCCACTTTCATAGCTTTCCTCTAACCCGAACTAGATAATGCTCCCCATAAGGTATTAGGAATAGAAATAGTAGACAGTTGAGAGATAAAGCAAGAGAAGACAAGAGACAAGGCATTATAAGACACAAAATTGGTAATGGGATGGTTAGTAACAGAAGATCGAGTACCTTTCTAAAGAATAATAGGTAAAGAGTTAGAAGTATTTAAGGAACTAGGATCAGGATACAACAAGGAATATGGTAGGGTCACCTCAATTGATGATTGTAGACAACGGGAGTATACATAGAGTGGGGTAGATATGGAAGTAGGTGGTAGTATAGTAGGCAGCGAAATAGTGGGGGTGGAGTTGACACCCCAAAGTCAAGATCCAAAGGTGGCGTAGGAGTTGGAAAATACGAAACTAATTCAGTAACTGTGACATCAGCGCTAGTGAAATACCAGCGAAGTGTGGCACTATAGCAACGATACTCCTTCTACAAGGAAGACACATTTGGTAGCACGAGAGTCAAGTATATCAAACCTACAAACCAAGTTGTGAACATAATAGACACACCCAAAAACTTTAGGAGTTAGGGAAAATAATGGAGTATTGGGAAAAATGAAAAAATATGGACTTTGCCCATTTAACATAGAAGATGGCATATAGTTAATAAGGTGGCAAACAATAAGAACAACATTACATCAAAATCATAGAGGAACATTCATCTAGAATAATAGTGCGCAAGTAACTTCCAATAGATGACGATTCTTACACTCAGTGACATCATTCTGTTAAGATGTGTAGGCACAAGTAGTTTGATGAAAAATTCCAATTTTACAAAGATAAGAAGAAAATGATTACACTCATATTCACGAGCATTATCAGAACGTAAAATACGAATATGACAACCATATTGGGTTTTGATTTCTCTATAAAAGGTCTCAAATATATAAAATAATTCAAAACGAGTTTCATAAGAAATAACCAAGTCACATGGGAATAATCATTCACAAATAACACAAAATAAGAAAATTTATTAGATAAAATATTCTTTATTGGACCTCATACATCATAATGTACTAAATCAAATAACTAAACCCACAGTTATTGACTCTAGACTAAAAGGGCACATGGTGATGCTTACTAAGTTGACAAGCTTCACAAGATGCTGACAACACATAACTAAGGTAGGAACTTGATGCTTTAAATTCTGGAGAAAGTGATGAAAAATATAACAATGCCACTAAAGGGAGATGGGGAGGTTTGAAGTGCCTAAGGAAGTGGATCAAGGTCAAAGTAATAGAGACCACCAGCTTCTAGCCCCGTCCCAATCTTTTTCTTCGTTTGGAGATCCTTAAACACACAATAAGAGAGATAAAAGGTTACTTAACAAAAGGGAGCGAGAAATCTTACTAATAGAAAGTAAACTAAAGAGAAACTGAGGGACATATAAAATAGATGATAAGAACATATCAGGACTCAATTGAGTAGTCCTCAAACCAAAAACTTTAGAGGAAGTACCATTAACAAGAGTGACATTGTATAGGGAAGTAATAGAATGATAAGTAGAGAAGACACTAAACGAACTAGTCATGTGGTCAGAAACATAGAGGTCTATGATCAAGGGACTCTGGGTGGAGGATAATAAACAAGTAAAAATGATACTTGGCTAGGTAAAGTTAGCAGTGGAGGAAGATGAAACAACTTGCTTTCGAGATATGAATAGAGCATACTCCTCTCGTGTAATAGTAAGAAGGAATCGACCAAGATATGGGAATAGGTAGAGAGCAAGTGTCATCCTAATAGGAGACCTAATAAGTTACATCCAGAAAGTTTGTCATGTAAATCCCAACAACAAATAATAGTGTGCTTTGGAAAACCACAATAAGTGCATGAACGAGGACCAGTACGGCCTCCCTGACCTCCACGATTGTTGCGATTGCCACAGACACTCCGAGGACTATCACTATTGTCATAAGGGACAATAAGAGCTAAGAAGTCAGTGGACAAGCCGTGATTAATACCTAAAGTCGAAAGGCCAATAGAAGAGATAGCATGATATAAATGTAAGACCTTAAGAAGAGACAGAAGATTAGAGCCACTCAAAATCTGAGAGCCAATAGGCTCATACTCAGGTTTCATACCAATAAGAAAGTGAACAATATCCAAATCCTCATGTTGTCGGTACCGAACTATAGCATTAGTGGTGAATGGGTGGTAAATCTTCAATTCCTCAAAAAAGCCTCGAACTTGAGAGTAATAGTCTTCTAAACACAAAGTACCTTAGCCAAGGCAAAAATATTGTTTGCAGACCTCATAAACACGAGTAAAATTACTTGGGCCAAAATACATAGTTTCCAAATTTTCCCAAATCTCCTTTGTAGTATCAAGGTAAAGCAACGTAGAGATGATATAAGCCTCAATACTCTTCAACAATAAGAAATATTCAGTAGCCTTAAGTTTGGTTCCCACCAAATACTTTTTGAGGCCCTTTCCCTTAAGAAATATTTGAATTGAGCGAGACCATAAAACGTAATTAGTCCAATTAAGCTTGACAGAAATCATGGGACTATTAAGAAGAATCGTCGGGGATTGCATGGGTGGAAAGGTAGGAGCAGTGGCCAAATACAGAATGTTTGTCTTGGGGTCCATAGTACAAATCTATCAAATGGGAGTTGAACCCCTACTAAACTAGCTGAAATGGCAGTAAAGTAGGAATAGAGGCTAAACCAATGGGGATAGAGGTTGAATCGGTAGGAATATAGGTTGAACCAGCTGAAGAAGCACTAAATCAGTGAAAATAGAGGCCAGAACCTTCGAAAACCCACTCAACTGGCTAAAGTAGCAATGAACTGGTAGGAATATAGATTGAACCGGTCAGAACAAGGGTAAAAAATCCTCTAAACCAACTAAACTACTCTAAACTTTATGTAAAATCACCTTTGAACCGTCTGAAAATCATGGAATGGGATGGAAAGGTACAAAATAGGAGTGAACCATTTGAAAATTGACCTAAAACAGCATTAAACAAGTTAGAACTGAGCCTAAACCGATTGAACTGAGCCTAAACCGATTGAACTAAGCCTGAATCGGATTGAACCAATATGGACCACACATAGGAGGCTGGGCTTAAGTACCTAGGTTGGACTGGATCACTTGGGCTAGGCTTGAGTATTTGGATCCAAATTAGATTGTGTTGGTTGAAACAACTAGGCTGGACTTAAGTTGTTTTAAATAACCCGTAACTCTGGGTTAAAATAAAAAACCCAATGGGTCAACCCGAACTACACCCAAAACCTAGGCTTCATCTTCCTCACGTGGGGTTCAACAAGGACCTTAAAATCAACAACAAACAATGGCGGCGACACTCCATAGCCACCACTCCAGTCCTTTGGTAGTAACAATGATAGCCCTAGTCCTTGTCTTTTTTACATAGGGTTCAATAAAAAACCCTTGATCAACAAGAGACAATGACGAGACCCCACAGCCGTTACGCCCGACCTCCAACAACAAAAACGACAACCTCCTTACCACCAGTGACCACCACAAGCCAACAACGTCAAATTTAGTATGATAAACGAGTAGTCAACCCAATCATCCATATCCCAACACAAACACACCAACATATACAGACAACTTCACAGAGAAACATCAACATAATCACCACTGACCCACATTCTTAGACAATGGGCGTGAATTACACGGCACAAGACATAATCAAATTCGAGAAGGAAATAAGAGAAAAGAAAAAACAATATTGCTTAATTCAAATTTTCAATCTAAAATAAAAAAAATAAAATTCAAGATCAATCTTTGAATCAATATTATTTTGATACCATGTCAAGTTTAGAAAATAGAGACATGCTTAACACAATATGAGAGAGGCAGAGAATAGTTGAACTTAACCTACCTTTCACTAACAACAAGTATTTATAATTGTCTCATAAATATACAAAGGATGAGTATACCATTTAAATGATACACCTATTACAACCATATTAAATAGTAATAACATAATAATACTCTCAACACACTTTATATACAATGTACATACAATATATACAAAATGTACCATTTAATGACACTTTTTAAATGATTTTTAAGCAACAAATAAGTACATCAAAATAGTTGTAATTTTATAAAAACTATCCATTTGCATCTTATTTTAAACGATACATTTATATATGTGTATTTGTCATTACCATCCTTGCAATTGAGTTTAGAGAAATGTGTTGATCTTTGTCAAGAAAAATAAAAAAGAAATACAAAAACAAATGTTTTTTTTTTGGGAAGGTAATGTTCCGGAAAAAAAAACAAAAAAACAAAAATCAGATGTTGCAAGTTTTGCCAAGAAAATATAAAAAGGGTAATACAGTAATTGGACTATGCCCCTCTGGCAAGCGAAGAATCCCTCACCCAGGGAGGCTTTCTTTTGCCTTTTGTTAACTCCAAGAACACCCAATGTTTATTTTCAACCGTTAGCTACTATTTTTTCTCTCTCTCTCTCCTAGGGTTTCTTGTTAGACACTGAAAGTCTTGCAATCACCAGAATTTTCACGCTCTCTAGACCTTATAGGTCAATTGTCTCAGTTCGAAGCGCAGCTTTCAAGTCAAAGATGGTAAAAATTAGTGCAATTTGGCAATTTTTCATTTCAGACCTCATTTTTCAATCCTTCCATTACTGATAGAAATAAAACTAACTCTTCATCTGGTGATTGTTGTTTTGAATTTTCAGGAAGGAGGTAATCTGGAGGCCCAAATAGAGGCGTTGTTGAATGTGGAGAAGCAGATGAGACTCAACGGCGATGTGGCCGGAACCAGGAAGGCAGTCACTGAAATTCTTCAACTGTGCTTCGAAGCTCGTGCTTGGAAAACCCTCAATGACCAGATTGTATTGTTATCCAAGCGACGTGGTCAATTGAAGCAGGTATATACGTCTATAAATACAATAGAGATGTGTTTATAGGTAAAGATTGCAAAATCAATTTGTTATACTTAGATTTCACAATTGTAAAATTAGTTGTTTTTGATTGATTTTGTTTCTCTTTTATGCTGTTAATTGCACATTGATGACATATTAAAGTACTGATGACATAGAGTTAGTTTCATGGATTGTGGTTGTGCTAGGATTGATGATTTGGTCATTAGGTTAGTAATTGTGGGGAATATGTAAGTTTACCTAATGGGTTTTGGTTCTTTGATACATTGATTATACGGTAATTCAAAGTTGGGAATAACTTGGTGGATTGGGAGAAAATTGGGTTTTAATATTCATTTTATAAATAGATTGTGGTTAGTAACCTATTCTATTTCTGTAATGATAGTTTTCTGGGATGTGGTTTTGTTTGGGAATTATAATGTGGTTGCTTGATAAGTAATACGCATTTGATATGTATGCCCAATTAATGGCATGTAGTGGATTTATATTGTTGATGTTACCCGTTATGAAAAATTGTGCATTTTATGTGTTGATTGAGAGAAAATTGGGGTTTAAGATATTGTGTAAACAATTATGTTTATGTGCTTCTAGGCTCTCATATGTATAAATGTGTGCATTTTGTGTCTATGTATAAAACACTACCCGATTGTTTGTTACACCAAGAACTCATGACTACAAAAACCGAAATAGTTATTTGTAATAGATAATTTCTGTTCAGTAATTTTTGGAACAAGTCTAGAGTTCATTTGGTGGGATAGGCTGTTGTTGGGATTGATAATTTCTTGCTGGAGTAGTCAGATTAAGTATATCTTTTTATCGGTAGATGAGTGCACTAATTTGATTGTATTATGCTACCAGATTGCACAAATATATAAGTAACAATGTAGATTGGAAGAAAATTGGGTTCACCTTTATAAAAAGATTATAATGAGATGATGCCTGCATGTGTGTTTGCAATGAGGTGTTTTCTTACATATGTGTGAATTTTTGGATGCATCTATACATACAAGATATACATATGCAAATGTAGCAAGATTTGTGTATGGTTGGTGTATATGAACCAAAATATAAGTATGTGTGGGAGTATGGAGGGAGATAGTGCCTGGAGTAAGGAGTAAAAAGGTTGCTCAGTTTGGCTTTGTTCAGTTATAATGCTGTCCATTTTATATATTTTGTTGCTATTTGTTTTTTTACAAATGATTGTCATGTTTTCCTCTGCATTTGCATTATTCTTCTGTTTTGAATTGATTTTTGTCCTTTGTGCCTTCGTGACAATATATATTGGCTATTTTTTTAGTAATAAAATCTTGCTAATGTTCATGGGGTGGCTGTTATCATTCAGGCAGTAACTGCGATGGTCCAGCAAGCAATGCTATATATTGATGACACACCAGATCTTGAAACTAAGATAGAGCTCATTAAAACCCTTAACAGTGTATCTGCAGGGAAGGTGAACATGTATTAATCAATTGGAATATGTTCTTTGTTGCATTATCTGTATCGTGTTCACTATTTTTTTTTTTTTATATTTTTTCTCAATTGGCTCTGTTATTTTATAGATATATGTTGAGATTGAGAGGGCCCGTTTAGTCAAGAAACTTGCAAAGATTAAGGAAGGACAAGGGCTTATAGCTGAGGCTGCTGATTTGATGCAAGAAATTGCGGTCAGTTCGTTGAGTATTTGTTTTGACTTCTTTAGATCTTACTATTTTGGTGTAGTTATCCTGAAATTTTGTGTGGAGTTGTATTTCCCTCTTGTAGCACCTTTTTATGGTATTAATTTACAGGTGGAAACATTTGGTGCAATGGCAAAAACAGAAAAAATAGCTTTCATTCTTGAACAAGTATGGGTCCTTCTGTTCTCTTTTCAGTTAACCCAACTTAGAAATTAATAGCCAGGATGTTAGTTTGAAAATGTTATGCTATGAGATCTGAACTTCGCAGGTTCGTCTATGTTTAGACCGCCAAGATTACGTGCGTGCACAAATCCTCTCAAGAAAGATAAGTCCAAGAGTTTTTGACGCTGATACTAAAGAAAAGAAAAAACCCAAAGAGGGTGAAAATGTTGTAGAAGAGCCTCCAGCTGAGATACCATCGCTGTTGGGGTTGAAACGGATCTACTATGAATTAATGATAAGGTATGTGGGTATCATTATAGCTGGAGTGAACTTTCAAAAAAAGGAATCTCTGATGCCATATCTTTCATAATAAATTAGCGTCCTTTTGTGGATCAATCGTGCTCAAGTTTTTCGACTATTCTTTTCCTTTGAGGCCTATGTGTTGTGACTGATGTTTTTAATTACTGAGCTGCTTGTGACATTCAGTTGCAGAATGCCTAATTTGCCCTCAAGGCTTGAAGTTTTCTTGGGGAGAATCTCCATTTGTATCCACATTGTGTTTGGCAGCTTGAATTGAGGTCTTAGAATCATGATAGGAAAGACTACTGTGTAATTTGACTTATATTTATATATGTATATGTCATGAAGAAAAAGTAAAAACTAGGTAGATACATCTTCCCCAAGAATGATGTTAGGTACTTTAGTCCTGGTAACTTGCTAAGCCGCTAATGCTATAGCGTAATCATGAACCGCTAATGCTATAGCGTAATCATGAACATGCTTGGTGTGAACCTGCTTTAAAATGACTACTATCTAACTCTGGGAACTAGCCTAATATCATCCATGCAGACCATTCAGATGTATAGACATTTAAAGAGTTTCAAATGAAAGATTTTAATATGGCAGCCTTGTCCATAAATTATTGTTATACTTTGTCTATCCAAGACTTGTCAAATTCATTTGATGCATACCTGTGTAGATATCACTCACATAGCAATGACTACCTCGAAATGTGCCGTTGTTACAAGGCAATATATGAGACGCCCTCTGTCAAAGAAGACCCAGCTCAGTGGATACCGGTAAAAAACTCCTCAATTTATGCACATTTGAAATTATATACACATACACAAGGATGCCTTCCTCAATCCTGCTGAACTTCTCTGCGTCCTTTCATACAGGTGCTGAGGAAAATATGCTGGTACTTGGTTTTGTCACCACATGATCCTATGCAATCAAGCCTTCTAAACTCTACCTTGGAGGACAAGAATCTTTCTGAGGTTCCTCATTTTAGGTTTGATTTTGCTTGTGCAATTTTTTTATTTTTTGTTTTTGGGATTTTGTTTGGAGGGATATTTTTAAACTTTGGCCATTATGTCATAGGCTGCTGTTAAAACAGTTAATTACTATGGAGGTCATTCAGTGGACAGTTTTGTGGAATAAATTCAAGGATGAGTTTGAAAATGAAAAGAACATGCTTGGTGGGCCTTTAGGTGACAAAGCAGGTGAAGATCTTAGAGAGAGAGTAATAGAACATGTAATGTTCATTTACACTAACTACTGATGCTGTTAATCATTTTTAACTTTTGAGTTAATTGGCAATCATTCATTCTTGAGACACCATTGTTTTGCAGAACATTCTTGTTGTCTCAAAGTATTATTCACGGATTACCTTGAATAGACTTGCAGATCTGCTGTGTCTCAGTGTGCAGGTTTGCTAATACATCATTTATATCATATTAGTCATTAATAGTATTGATCTATTTTTTAAGATTGTATTGTTTACTTACTTTTCTTAGTGAAAAGTACTCCTCAGGCTTTTAATATCATATTCATGGGTATTAGAGAATAATCATTTCTGCCCTTATATTCGGGATGGCTTCTATTTTCTATATTGATTTTTAGCATATTCCGCAAGAATGTTTCTTAGGCAAAAGAAACTATTTGGGAATTCTTGGTTTTATATCAAAGATCTATTCTAACAACCAGCTTGTAAAATTTAGTTTTGTGTATCTGTTGGTTAGAAATTCCTTGAGATCAGCTTGTCCAAATTTTGAAGGCATAAGATTTGTTCTGTGACTATGGTCTTGGCGCATCAGTAAGGTTACTTTATTTGACAACTAGGTGTCACGGGTCCGAGTCGCAGAAACAGCCTCTCCGCATGATGGGTAAGATTGTGTGTATCTGACCCTCCGCAGATCTTGCAGTGGCAGGATGCAGGAGTCCCATGTGCTAGGCCACTCAAAAATTGTTGTGTTTTTTGTATTAGAGAAAAAGGGAGATCTTAACACGTAAAATGACTCAAGTGTTGATTCATTGTTCATACGAGTACAAAATTGGTGGTTTAGTTCCATATCGTTATCTGAAATTTTTTGAGTAGGGTGTTATATAATATCTTACACATTCAAAGCTGGTTTTGGTTTCATTGGAATCTAGACTGTAGTGAAAAGATGTGTACTCAGGCTTCTTTGATAAGAAAAAAGTTGTATTACCTGTCAATGTAGACTATTATTTCTTTGCAACTCATGAGGCTCACCTGTGTACCAAGGGCAAAGATATGTTAAAACATGAGACAATACATTCAGGTTATGTATATTTCTAGACTGCACACTGAGGGAGCATCCTTTAACCATCAAGGTTCAAAGTATCTGCCGAGTCCAAAACAACTCGCCCACCTCCCTTCCGATAACAATGCATGATATGCGAATAGCATGAAACTCATGTAAATCGGTCTTGACTCAGTTACGAATCAATGATATCGGCCCAAAATGGAGTCGAATTGATTGGCTCGGGTCTCGAGTTGGGCCTATTCAGACTGATACAACAAGATCTCAAACAAGCACAAAGAGAGCAACAAACATAGACCAAGATATGTCATCTATCAATTTTCAACCCTAAATTCATGACCTATATTCAAGGGAAGCAATAAATAACACTAAATCACACCCCTTTTGCAATTATAAATATAGCAGAAAATTGAAAGGATTTGCGAGAAAATATGTGAAATCAAATAGAGAAAACCCCTTCTTCTTCTTCTTCTTCTGTCACGCAGTGCAGAAGGGACATGCTGCCTCATCCTTTCTTACCAGGCAGCAACAAGTATCAAAGATCTTCTCTTGTCAATCGCTTTCAATCGATGCCGCCCCTCTCATATGGCTCTCTCTCTGAGTTAGTCTTAATGGTCTAAGACTCTGAACAATGAGACTGTCGATGGCACTCATCACCTATATAATGTATATGTAATCTACATCTACACTAAAATATCTTAAAAAAATTATACTCTCATACATAGATCAGAATTTTATTTTCTGTATTTTTAATTTTCGAAAATTTATAGATAAATTTTGAAACCAAATTACATTTAGATTCATATGATCCTTATAGTAAAAATTGCATGCCTAGTTTGGATAATTAGGTTAGAGACAATAACAGTGGTTATAAATATTTCTGACAACACCTTTATGTGCCAGTGTCTAGGCGTATGCCTTGTGCTTCTACTCTCTCTTTCCTTTTTTTTTTTTAATGTCTTTCTCCACTCACCAATGTGAGCAATGAGCATGTGTTTGGTAAACAGACATTCGCTTGTCTTTATCATGAAGACATTCATTTGCAATGTCTGTTTTCCCCTTTTGCTTCTTAACTTACTGCCCTTCTGTCAATATTCGTATTTCGCCTTATGCTTTTGGCTTCACTGTGAGCTACTGTTGGTCCAGTTCTGCTATTTGCTTTAGTTCAGAACAGGAAATGTGTTTTCTGTTTGGAGCTTAGACTACATTCTATAGGTGTGTTAATGCTGATGCATTGTATGTCCTCTCACTCTTCAGCTACAGTTGCTTTTGTTTTTCAACGGTTTTAGCATAGAACAAAGTTGATTCATATTTTTTCCTCCACTAGTTTTTACCTTTTTCGTATCTATTTGGTTGAAGGATGGGCATAGGCTGAGCTACATGACTCTGAATAGGGTCAAAAACACGCCTCTGTATTCTGAGAAAGTATATTGACCTACTGCATGACTATTTAGCATCCTATGTATGACCTCACTGAATTTGTGAACTTTCAATGCAAGGTCAATCTCTAGTTCCAAAATATATATGAAACAATTCTAGCAAGTAAAAAAACAAAAGAAAATGGGGGACTGTTTATTTACACTTTTCACTCCTTGAGGTATGTTTTGTAAACTAGGTATAGGTTGATCCCACTGAATGAAAATTTTAGCTATGCCCCTGGATGGTTGGGCGTTGTTTTAAGGTTTTCCATTCCAGTCGTCATAGGCAAAGGCTGTCTGTCCTGCTTTAGAATGCCTTTATTGGCTAACATTTCAAAAAAGAGAAACAAAAAAGAATTTTTCTCAATTATGCATCTATTTGAATCTAATTGTTTCTTTGATAAACAGTTACATGGTTGTTTCTCTTTCCCATCTCAGGAAGCTGAAAAGCATCTTTCAGATATGGTTGTATCTAAAGCGCTGGTGGCAAAGATTGACAGGCCAATGGGTATAATCTGTTTCCAGAGTGCGAAGGACAGTAATGACATTTTAAACTCATGGGCTATGAATTTGGAGAAACTGCTTGACCTTGTGGAGAAGAGTTGTCACCAAATCCACAAGGAAATGATGGTTCACAAAGCTGCCTTGAAAGTTTGAAATGTTCATTTGGCCAAGTCTGCAGGTAGAATTTTACTATCTATCACTTCTATCCTATTGGCATAAATACATGAATTATGTGTTGAATAATGGGCTAGCTGTACGTTATTGTTGTTTACTTCATTTGTGGACCGCACATGTACATGAGGGCGGCCTCACTTTTTTGAACACATTAAGCAAATTTTTCTTTTCTTAAAAATTTAGTGAACTAAACTGATATCGTGTTCAGATGACAACTATTGCCTTGGTTAATCTTTTGCAGGTTGGCCTTTGTTTTCCTCAGTTTTGAGGGCCAAGAGTGGGAACCAAAATGGGGTCTCTTGTAGCAATGAAAGATATTATGCGTGGTGCTCTGCTTTTTCCCTCCTTTGGCTTTGTTTAAAATCTTACATTCACATGGTTTCTGCCTTCTGGCTTGTGTGATTTTTTTAGTACTTTTGTGATCCATTCTTTGTAATCAATAGATTTATACTTGTGCTGTGAACTAATCATGTCTATGTGCTTGTCTTTGGTTACACACACAACAATTATGTATGAATCAGGATAGGGATTATAATTTGATTTCACCTGTCCTCTTAAACCCTTGGTCTATGTGGATGTCTGTTTGAGGCTGATTGTGAATTTTAGCCCCATTTTTTTTTATTTGGGGTCACAATCAAAATCTTTTAGGCTGAGAAACAGATTTTGCAAGCGATAGTGAATTTTTGGTGAAAGCAAGCCCCCGTCTCCATATCAAGCATTCCCTGTTTTTATTCTTTGCAAACTACATTGTATGTTATTTCTATTGGCTTTTTACTTTCCTGAATTTTTTTCAGTTCCTGATGATACTTTTGACTTGAGTTTTTTGCGCTCTTACATGTTCTATTGTATAATCACCGCATGTATTAGTCTAAATATTTGAAGTTAATTTTTTTTTTTTTTGCCGATGTATTAAACCATCCACCGTGAAAAATAGATTGAATTTTTTTTTACGCTCAATTCATATTAAATCAATTCAACACTATCATTTGCCACCACCTTTAGGTGAAAGTGCCGGGATTTGGGGTCAGAGTGACTTATGGATGCGAGAAGGTGGTTGAAGAAATTGAAATTGCGAAATAAGAACTGCACTCTAATGTTGTAAGTTTGTTAAACTGTACAATACAAATAAGATAAGAAAAATTAAAATAGTTGGGAGAACTATTTCGTTGAAATAAAATATTTAGGGTTTTATTTATAAATGTTGTGAATGATGTTTTTTATTTGGTCAAAATTTCAAGAAAATTTTAGTTTGATTGTTGAGAAAATATAAAATAGCTCTGTTTGGGAGAGTATCTCTTGTTTAAACCAAGCTGTGTGGTCTACTGGTACTTAATTTTCTGTTAAGGGTCTTGCTAGGGTTCTCCTAGGTTCAATTCATGGAAAGTAAATTATTGAGTTACTTCTATTAGTTTGGTGAGATTGGTATCTGGCTATGGTTCAAGTCGTGTTTAGGGGGCGCCGCGTTTTCCTAACCATGGTCGCTTTCTCAAAAGACACATCCTAACATAGATTTTAGATCTAATCACCCCCTTATACCCTTTCATCCAAGCAAAAAAAAAAAAAAAAAGGCAAAATTCATTTTCACTACCTTTTGGTTTAACCCATTTGCACATCAACTATTCAAAAATGGCACATAACCCCTTGTGCTTGTTCTGTTAACTATTATAATAAAATGACTTTAATACCCATCAATTTATTTTTTAATTTAATAAATAATTATCCCAAAATTACTCCGGCAGCCAACCATCATCGCCGTCGACACTAAATATTGCAGGCCAAAGACCCCAACTCTGTCATTCACTGCGTCATCTCCATTAATGGCAGCCCATCCCCTACATCATACAAACTAGTGCAGTTTGACAATTCAAACTCAACAAAACTCAATTTATATCCCACCATGTCAATTTCACTTTTTTTAACCAAAAAATCAAACTAAAAATAGAATCAAACTGAAAATCGACATGGAAATAAAAACTTTGAATCAAAACAATAAGAAATAAAAATTGAAACAAAGATAGAAAACCAAATTGTACGGCGGTCGGTGGAGACTACAGACAAAAAAAATTTGATAGTGGTAGATCAATGACGGAAGACGTGATGGAAACTGGACAAAAGGTCGATGGTGGTGGTTGATCGGTGACAAATGACGTGGATAAGAGTCGTGGTTCTCTCTTGTCCTCATATGGAGATTGGTAATCATGGTTGTTACACTATTAGACTTGATCAGATGTGAGAGAGAGAGAGAGAGGCGTTGAGGGTTTTTTTTTTTTTTTTCTTTTTTAGTTGCATTTTTTATACCAAATTGCGTAACAAGTGCGTGATAGATACGAATCATTAAAATGGATGAAAAATTTAATGATACATTTTAATCCGACAACTACAAGAGGATTATGTCATTTTTAAACGCCTAAAATGATATGCAAATAGGTTAAACCACAAGAAAGAAAAGTGAAATTTGCCCAAAAGAGAAAAAAAACAGGTCTAATTCCCACACTTAATTGATTGGGGTTTTCTTGGTTGACTCCCCCAGGTGTAACTGACACTTCTCGAGGCTTTCCTTGAATACCAAGTCGTAATCCATTGTTCTAGATTTTCTTGGTTCTTAATCGACATTCGCTAACATTGTGTGTTGTTTCTGGGTTGAGCTAAATGGCCAAAAGAAAATTTTAGTAGCAGACCAGCTCAACTCAGTTTGCCTAACCTTCATGCTAATAACTCAGCAGAACGCTAAACTGAACTTAAAAGCCAATTTAGGAAACCACGTGAACTGATGACTGATTAAATACATGAACAAATGAACAATGCAATTCTGATCAAACTCTTTATCGAATTTTACTTACCAAAACAATGTGATCCACTGTACTTTCCAGGGGTAAAAAAAAACAATTGGGATTCACCTCCAAGAATCAAAATTTCAATATTGTGCAAAATTTCAATTTATACACACAAAAACATTTCAGAAAGTTTTCAAGACCATACAAGATTTTATCGCAAAATATTCTAAAATATTAACCAAAATGTTCCAAAAATCTCAAAACATGAATATTTTAATTTTCATTAGTATATTTAGGTTCCAATAAAAATAGGCCATTTCAATGAAAAATATTGATCCTTATCCACTGCATTGGCTTCATGTCACTGATTCAAAGATCACCAAATTTCATTTTCTCACATCTACTATTCACTAAAACCATCTGTGGAAATTATCATTCACACTGAAGATTAACAGGAATCAAGTCAATTCCAGTTCGTTCATTTTGAAAAACAAGTTACAACAGAATCCATGAACATGAACTAAATACAAAAACAAAGACACATTACTCAGGATTTATAACTTACACCTATACAATGAGTTAGAACTTGGAAGCTTAAGATTCACCATTGATCGTGTGATCATCACACTTTCTGAACCCATGGCCCTATGAACAATGGAAATGCCCTAGCTAACAATCCCATCATTAAAAAAGGCTTCACTGACGTACCAAATCATGCTCCTCCCCAGCATGCAAAGTAATTACCTTAGCCCAAGCAATACATCTCTCAGTTATCTGTAAGGAACTCTAACTTCCACAAGCCATGCACTCTTCACGATTTGTTAAAGAACATACCACCTGTGCCATTTTAGTATTATCATCATCATCCACCATCTTGGTCTTTTCCTGCATTTTAAACAAGAACAATTTTATATAAACAAGTTTTTTTGTTGGGCAGGTGGAGATAATAGCAATTGACAGCAATCAGTACCTTGAGCATGGTTGTGTCAACAGTGAACTTGATGGCATCGGCTGCAGCACGTGATCTTAGATAGTACATACCTGTTTTCAGACCCTTTTGTATCCAGACAAGAACAATGAATCAGAAAAGATAATCAGACCACATTACTAAAATTGTAACATCAGTAACTAATCATGTCCATGCACAAAGTAACAAGTGCAGCATATGATTCAAGGATGGTTTCAATTGAGAACCAAACAATGCAATGACCATTTCTCTTACTTTCAGTGGAAATGACACTCCAGAAACTTTCTGATCTTTCTCCAAGGAAAGGGAATTACTGATCAGTATTCTCTCTGATCCAGAAGGTCATTTTTGCATCAACAATAAATGCAGCCATGACAACTTTTCGCACTTAAAGAACAAACATTTTCCATGACCAAAGGCAGAACCAGACTATTTCTTGCGTGAGGGATTATAAGATTAACATCAATTTAAAAAAAATATTATTAATAATATTTTTTTATAATCACAATTACATAAAAAAAGATCAATTAGATAGCAACAAAACAATATGCGACATTTTTTATATAGCGTATTCCAATTAATTTTCATACTTAATAAATAAAAAAAATTAATAGGAATTTTTTTAAACAAAATTAAATCTATCAAAAGTCTTTCAACTAAAATTAGATATAGTGGCAGTTGAATCTATCATAATTCATAACCAAATTATTTAATTTCAATTAATCAAAACAATTGGACACAAACTAAAATAGGTAAATTTCAAATGAAATAACCCAATTAAATATAACAAAATTCAAATAATTTCAGTTCCACAAATTAAAATATCCTAGAAAACAAGACTGACTGGATCTATAATTTATCAATGCATGATTGCAACACCATATCAATAAACCTATTTTGCAAAACCAAACTGTTTTACATCTCTCATCTCCAATAATTTTAAATAATATTTCAAATAAATTGATATAAAAATTGATGAAATCACCATTTGTTCAATTTAGACCCAAATATGAAAATTGATGGTCTATTGTGAAGAAAAAGTTAAATAAGTAAGAATAATAAAAATCCTAACTACAGTGCTAAAAAATAAAAAAAATTACAAATCTATTCATTTATGCCTTTATGGGTTGCTCTCATGGCTATATTATAATAGAATGAATAATGCTAAAGAAAAAATAGACGAACAGCTAAAAAGAAAAAGTAGAAATCTTTTTTTTTAACCTAACTTTACAATGTATAAAATAACACCCTAGATTTTATCAAAATTTCAAAACTTACCTTAAGCCTTTTAAAATACTCAGTGGGGGCAATATCTTTAAATTTTAAATATTCTACCTACACCCCAAAAGTTTTCAAATTTGCAGTGGAGGCAGCTACCCCACTGCTCCCATTGTAAATCCACCCCAGTCCATGACCGAGCAATACTGTCACATCATGTCATGGAGCCTCCTTTAAACAAAGGAGAGAACATAAGATTCTCCAATATTAAGTAGGGAAGATGATTAGACTTCCTCCAATCAAATTCTTGGACTATCTACCAATAATTGAAGATAATTTATACCTTAGACCATGCATGGAAGTGCAGGGAAGTAAGTTTTCCAAAATTGGGTTGGTCCATATGGATATTCAGGCTTTGGCTCTGGTCTATGTAGCATCCGCGATCAGCAGCCATATCAACCAGCATCCTTTGCTTGATCTCCCAAACAGTCCTGATCACATTAATATATATTAGCATGGGGCAGAAGGAACTTGATGTGTTTTATAAGAAAAAATAGCCAGCCCTAATTAATCAAGTCCTTACTTGTAAATTTCTTTTAGTTCATCAGGAATTTCTGGGATTTTCTGAACAGAACCATCCTCATATATTATCCTGTTCTTAAGAGCAGGGGACCAAAGGCCCATCTCAGTTAAGTCGTGAAGAAGAT